GTGCTAATTAACTGAACAAAAGAAATTGTGCAAGGAAGTCTGTTAGTAGAGGTCAATGACGCCATCGTGCAAACGTCCTATTGGTGTTTTTTTAAGTGGTTGCTATGGATACCTACCATTCTGCCCTGGGTCTGTACATATGGTATCATAGTTAATATTTTATTTTCTTTGGTGTAGTAGCAGTAGTGCTTTGTCCATGTGTATCCTAGGCCACCTAGAATTAAGAAAACGGTATAAAATTATATTACAGACACCAAACAACAATATTCCCAGTGCAATTCATAGAGTCCTGTAGCACAATCACAGTGTGCATATGTGTAACATAGGCAATTTTTATGAAACATTTGAAAGACAAGTAAAAACTGCCAGAATACATAAGACATAGTGTAAGATTATCTATGAAACACATTTCAATCATTTAATCAGAATTTTTGATTATTGACAGCTATTTYATATATTACCCACAATGCATTGCGGGCGTGGCAATTCACTAATTATTTCTTATTTAAACTGAATTTACATTCTAAGATTGAAATGCTTTTACACTTTGAGTGATAGACAACCTATAATGATGCAATGATCTCTTCATTTACGCTCAAGGAGGCCTGAAAGCGTTATGAAATCAACTGGTAACGCAAGTGACATCTTGTGCAAAATAAGCCTTATGATGATTTTATTGTTTCAGCCCTAAATTTTTTATAATACGCCCCCCCCCCCCCGAAAACTTGAGGAATAGTTGTATGGCATTCCTTCTACGTTTCTTCTACGTTTGGAGACCATTTAGAGTGAATTTTGAATGCTATCTTCAATGATCGTTACGCTTGCGTAAGCACTGGGGGAGACAGGAGAGAAAACCGGAAGAACAGTCCAGGATTCACTCCAGATCTGGAGAGCAGTACCACGTCACGTTTCTATTGTTTTCTGCTTCGATGTAAACATTGCAGTCACGCAGACGAGTACAAGTGAACGGCATCTCGAGTACTTTTACGGTTCTGAAGGTTTATTTAAGTGCTGCACATGAATGTAAGAGCAATTTTTGATCAAATATTCATGGCAATCTTTTTTTTTTTAAAAAAAGGTCCATTGTTTGTCTAAAATAGAGCCAAACAGTAGGTCCCGGCTTTTCAAAGATCTTGTAAATCTTCAAAAGAAGTATGAGGCTTCCATTCAATTGGAACAACTGTTGTGCTGTATCTTCTTTTCATGTCCAACTCATGCTTTTCTTTTAGGGATATTAAGCAACATTTCACACAAAGAAACCTCGGATGAATGTTTTGTGAATCCAAGGACACGTCCATTGACCATGCGGTCTCAATTTCAACTGGACATTTCCTGTTATCGTTTGTGACACTACAACCACAGATTCTACATCTCTCTATAATGTGACTGATGTCACGCAACACAGTCACTGTTTTCTTAAGTAAGTGTCATATTACATTAGTTTAGTTTGGGATGCGTGGCAGTTGCCCGTGCTATATAAATGATTTCGTCGTAAGAGGTCAAGTTATAGGACTTCAAGTTAGAAGTTAACATCTGGACAAGGTACCGATCATTTAATATGTTTGTAAAGTGTTTATGTATTGAATCTTATAGTTTAAATAATTCATTCCATCGCGTATAATTCCGATATGATTAGTTACGTTCCTTTGTTGATCTACTTGTAGTTTTACAGATAAGTCAGAGATAGTCAAGATCGACTAGATATACGAATAAAGATTAATCCAGTAAAGCAGTCTTAGTTTGCCTAGCAAAGGCCACACTATAACAAAATTTTTTTTATGCCCATCCATATTGCTGTGCAGATCAAAATACAAAATATGAGTTACATCTCATAAATGTCACAAGTATGACATTGAGCTTCGGTTTTTGGGAAAGACGCACGATAATTACAATGATCACCRTACCCGACTCTAGTTTCCAGTGAAAATCATTTTTGATCTGGGATAAATCTGTTACCTTTCCAAAAAAATGTACATCCCATTACTTACTGAACCTGTAAACACTGTCATGGCACTCAAGCCAAGTCTGTGTGATAAAACTTGTCTGATTTTTTCACCATCGTCTTCATCTCGCAGTTAAATTCTCACCTCAAGCTATTCTTTCATATATCGTGAGAACTACTATCAATCAATATCCAGTCTCTACTCAATGAAAAAAGATGAAAATTCCCAAAGAAATACCTTGAAATACCCATGACCTTGTCGTGGAAAACAATAGAAACGTGACGTCATGACCACTCTCCAGATCTGGAGCGAATCCCAGACTGAAGAATGTTTCCGAAACAGTTTTTGCAAGACTCGACTAGCTTATTTTAAAATACAACTATAAATTATACTCTGAATGGAAGCTTTATTAAATGAACGCCAGTTTGGTTGCCTGAGCATGTATGGCGTTCCAATCCCGCCAAAATTCAATGTTGACATGAAACATTCAACTTCATGCATCAACATTCAAGTGTATATAATACAACTTCGAAGTTCAGTTTTCAACCTTAAAAAACTTGGGATTGAATATTCAATGTCATACCTCAACATTGGAGTTTACATGCTCCAACATCGAACTTCACAAACAGGAACTTTCAACTTCATTAAACTTGAGATCGAACAGGCTCGAACATCCAACTTCATTTAACAACTTGGAATTTGTAAACTCTAACTAACAACTTTCAGGCTCAAACGTTTGAACCCAAATTTTTGAATTCATTTAATTCGATAGTGTAGATTGTACGTTTTGGATGGACGTTATATATTGCATGTTGCAATCGGATCAGTTGGAAGTTGAGTACTCAAACACG